CTCTGCCGTAGACTCAGGCAGCTACAGCAACAGCAGCGGTTCCTACTCCCATGCGGAGCTTCCAGAATGCCTGGGAGTCTCCTAATGATAACAACTAGTGAAAGACAAGGTTATAAGTCCTCCCAGCTAAAGCAGCCAAGACTTAAAAGAGGATAATTGCCCCTAGAACCTTAGGACCAAGAGATTAAGTCAACAAAGGAATATCTCTCTGCCTGCATGTGCTACAGGACACCTTGCACAGCAGATCACGGAGAAAGAATAGTGTGGACAAATTCTGCTCCTCTCCTTCTGTATCTTCAGGGTACAGGGAAGAGGAAAACTGTTGTGCAGGAGCAGAATTATTCCAGAACTACTGGGCTGCCTCATTGGGAAAGCACAATGAGAAGGGAAGCCCCTGCCTTTTGAGGCCTACTCTTCCCAGCTCCTTGCCTCAAGATGGAAAGACTTTCAGGTAGACCCAGAGCTCTTGGTGTGTGGACACAGAACTGGATACACTTGATTACACCCACAGCCTCTCCTTAAAGAGATCTCTAGATAATGCTGGGAGAAAGGGGTAGGGCTGATCAAGGCAGACAAAGTGCAGTTACTGATTCTCTTCACTGAAGGCCAACCGGGGGTTCTAGACCGCCCAGTCCATTCACTTAAGGTATTGTGATTTCTTACCATATCCCACCTCTCTCCAACATTCACATATTTAAGGGAAGCTCCCACCAGCATTCAGGGGTTAACTGAGTAGTAAGACTTGGCCCCTTTATGATTCCAGATTCCTGCAGGAGGTTTGTTTTCTGAACATTCCCCTCTGTGCACTCCCCTCTTGTCTTAATTGGCCCTACCCATTGAGGTAGATTCCAGATCTTTCTCCTGTATCTTTGGCTTGGCTCAAGCCTCTGACCACTGCACTGTGAAATCTAAAAGCAGGGAGATGGCCAAAATAGGCAGTCAGGGAAGAGCACAGGCATTCCTATTGCATCTGCTCAGTCTCTCAGCAATCCTCATGTCAGGGAACCTCTCAGGGTTACAAGCTGGGTAACAGGAGAGTCTCCCCTTCCTCACTCACTGCATAAGGACAGGGTGAGACAGAGCCAGATCTCTCAGAGGCTGTCTGCTGGGTGCTGAAAGATAGTGCTGCTGAATGTCGGTGTTCTCCGAAGTCTCCATTCTGGACATAATTCCTCAGAACCATTCCCTAAGTCTGTTTGAGCTATGGTCTGGATGGTTATGCTCCCCAAGTGACTTCTTGCTGTTCCTCTAGATATCACTGGCTCTCAGGGGAGTAGCCATTCATAGTTGTCACATGTAACTGCTACTGTTGTTGTTGTTATTTTTAACACTTAGAGAGCTGGCATCCAGAATTGAAGGACATCAACAAAGCCAGGCAATAGTGATAGGCTACCACTTTAGCAAGAATTGATGGATTGATTAAAAAGCCATTTGTTGAACATATGCAATGCACCACTTGATGATGTGAAGGGGAACAAAGATAAATAAGAAAATGAATTCTCTCCTCCAGGAAGCTACATTGTAATGGAGATATAGATGCATACATAAATCACCATAATATAAGTGAGGATAGAAGGACAGGTCATAGTGATAATGTCTACACCTGATAAGGTGAAAGAGCATTTTCACCTACCAGGCCATCAGGCAAACGCTTGTTGATCTGGAGTAGCTTGATCCTGTTTCTGCTGAAGAAGCCAACACCAAGGTTAATAAAGGCAATTGTAACATGGTAAGCACCATAAAGTAAATACTTCGTAATGCTCTATGTGCATATAACAGGAGCTCAGTGTGTTATCATTTCTTTTTAAATTAGTAAAATTGATTGATCAGTATTCAATGACTTCTCTTTAATAGCAAGAGAAGCAGAAGTTGCATTTCTCTTCCCTGTTCCTCAGGGCAACTAACATGAGAACAAACAGGGTTCAGTACCAGGAATAAAGTTGACTCATACTCTTAGGCTTTCTCTCCTTTTAGAACCATTGACTGAAGACTTGGAATGGGATGACATTCATTCTCATAGGGAAACAGATGAAGTTGCCAAGGAGAGAGGTTAGGGAAGGAACAGGCAGGGAACGTGAGGTGAAGGAACAGGAGGCAGTGACTACTGCACTGCTTTTGACAAAGTCTCTTCATCTCAGAAGAAAAGGCTGTTCTGGGAAGATCATATTCTAGGTAGAAAGATAAGGATGAGTAGAAATCATACATGTTGTGGCCCAACATCCCAGGGGAAGAGAGTAACTTGTGACAACATGAATAATATCTTTATGATCTGGTACCAGTCCATGGTTCCCAGGTCTAGAAAATTTAAAAACAAAATCATCAATGGTATAGGTTTTAATGTATAGAATTAGCTGTTAGGAGACAAGGTGGACTTTTCCCAAGGCAGGAATGGTGCCATGAGGAAAATGGTGACATGAAGGAAAACAGGGCAAGGTGAGCTATACTGGGTTCTTGGCCTTCTAGATAAAAGAGGTAGAATTGATCTCTCTCCTCCCAGTGAGGTTTTTTTGTTGTTGTTGCTTATTTGTTTTGTTTTTTGAGACAGATTTTCACTCTGTTGCCCATGTTAGAGTGTAGTGGCATGATCATAGCTCACTGTAACCTCCAACTCCTGGGCTCAAGTGATCCTCCTGCCTCAGCCTCCAGATTAGCTGGGACTACAGATGTGTGCCACCATGCCCTGCTAATTTTTCTTATTTTTTGTAGAGACAAGGGTCTCACTATGTTGCCCAGGGTGGTTTCAAACTCCTGGCCTAAAGTGATCCTACTGCCTTGGTCTCCCGGAACACTGAGATTGCAGGCATGAGCCACTGCGCCTAGCCATCTCCAGTGAGTTCTTACAGGTATTTTTTCCTATGTCACGCTTCTGTTATCTCTTCTACTATTCATAATTGTCACTTAAGTCTCTACCTGCTATTTAAATATTTATGGTTTTTTGTTTGTTTTTTTTTTTTGAGACAGTCTAACTGTGTTGCCCGGGCTAGAGTGCCGTGGCGTCAGCCTAGCTCACAGCAACCTCAAACTCCTGGGCTCAAGCGATCCTCCTGCTTCAGCCTCCCAAGTAGCTGGGACTATAGGCATGCGCCACCATGCCCAGCTAATTTTTTCTATATATTTTTAGTTGTCCAATTAATTTCTTTCTATTTTTAGTAGAGACGGGGTCTCGCTCTTGCTCAGGCTGGTCTCGAACTCCTGAGCTCAAACAATCTGCTCGCCTCGGCCTCCCAGAGTGCTAGCATTACAGGCGTGAGCCATCACGCCCGGCCTATGGTTGTTTTTATATGAACTCTTAACTACTTGAAGGCAGCAATCATGTCTTCATACCTTCAGTGGCAACTAGCTCAGTGCCTGCTCTCATTAGGTCATTAAGAAATATTGCTGGATTTGATGTTATAGGAGAATTGGACTTCAAGGGTTGACAGCTGCAAGGTCTGGCAATCCATAGGTCTGGCCAAGAATTTCCATGAGGCAAGGCAACATTTGGCAATTACAAGGGCATTCCAGTGAAGTGAAGAGGAGTGTTAGATTTTGCAATAGTTCTGCAAATAAAATAGATTTTTCTGGAGAGGCTGGGTTCTCGGAAAAACATGTGCTGATGGCAAAAAGTAACCTGGGTCCTCACCAATATCAAGATCATGCAAGATATAATCTCTGCCAGATTCAAATAGGAAGAGGTGAGATTAATAAACTTTCTGAGTTTTACATGGCATTATGCTAGGTATTATATATGCAGAATATTTTAAAAAGTAAGATACTATTACTGCCCTTATGCTTAAAATCATAATGAGGAGTCAATGTGCATATATATAAAATAATCAGAGAATGATATGAATGTTACATTGAGTTCCAGGTTAAACATTACAACATTGCTGTTGAGGAAGGTGTCCTAAAGAAGGGAGCCTTGAGACAGGTCTTGAGAGTTCTCAAATTTTTGTGGGTCTTTACTCTTCTATCTCAAGATCATTTGAAACATAATAAAGTTTATGGTTTAACACATCCCCTCCACTTTATCCCCCCCATTAATATTTCAAGATAGCATTTAATTTGCCTGGTGTAATAATGTGCCTCATATGCCTCTAGCCTCTGAGCATGGATCTATAACCCTAACTCGTAGATTAAGCTTCACTCCGTTCCAAGGACTCAAATTTTCCTGCTAGAATAACATGAGGGGACCAGGTCATGAGTTCAAAGAGTCCGCTTCAAAGGTAATCAGGCTTTTGGAGGGGGCAGTTCCTGCCTTATCTTTCTATTCCCTTAGACCAAATTTCTCACCGGTAACTTCTCCTCCCATGAATAGAGCTACAGCACCCAAAATTATCTCCTTGTCCCTGGGGTCTGGTTTCTATGGCCAGGTTTTTTTGTGATCAATTAGTTGTATTTTTTTAAGGCTAGTCAAGTAAAGCAGTGGGAGTGGAGAAGGAACAAAGAAATCTGTAACTGGCTGTGATCAATTAGTTGTAAACACAACTTCACTCAGACCAGCCGAGGGCCAGGTTTTTTGTACGCCAACTTTCTGTGCACTTGTATCTGTATACATTGTCTAATGTCTGTTTAGGGCAACACCCGGAATCTTGGATTCATTTTGGACTTTTTACCATAAGTAAAAACTTCCTGTCACAGTCCTGGGGCTAGGTCTGATACAAGAATCACAGAGAAGGCAGTACACTGGTAGCCTAAGGGTGTCTTATGTCGAATGTGTCTGGCTAGAAGACAAGAGTGAGAGGCTGCAGCTTTGTGATGGGCTCTGCTATAGTGTGCATACAGTTTGTTTGGCCCTGCCAAGTCTCGTGTTAAAATTCAATCCTCAGTGTTGGAGGTGGGGCCCGATGGGAGGTGTTTGGATCATGGGGGAGGATCCCTCAAGAATGGCTTGGTGCCATTCTCCCAGTATTGAGTGAGTTCTCCTCTTAGTTCCTGTGAGAACTGGTTGTTGAAAAGAACCTGGCATCTTCTCTTCTCTCTCTCTCTTGATTCCTTTCTTGCCATGTGATCTCCACACACTGGCTCCCCTATGCCTTCTGCCATGAGTGGAAGCCCTCACCAAAAGCTGATACTGGAGCTACGCTTCTTGCACAGACTGCAGAAATGTAAGCCAAATAAATCTCTTTTCTTTATAAATTACTCATCCTCAGGTATTCTTTTATAGCAACACAAAATGACTGAGACAGGCTCATAGTCATCAACTTCTTTGTGATACAAATGGTAGCCACAGAAAATTTCTGCTTTAAGTCATGAGGCAATGAAAGGGCTATTTCAGGGAAAAAAAAAAACCAGTATAGACTGGATTAGCTAGCAAGGTGACTGTCAAGACACTGTATGCCTTAGCATTTACATTAAATCAAATGACATAAGGCATGCCAAGTACCCAGCCCAGTTCCTCGCACTAAACAAATATTAGTTTACTGCCCCTTATATAGAGATTTTACAGTTTACAAAGTGCCTTCACGTACATTAAATCCCCCCGAAACCTTCTGAATCAGGTATTTCCCCCAGAGTAGAGATTTGACATCCCAAAAAATAGCACATCTGAAAAACTGCAAGGCTGAGAGTCAGACCCAGGTTTGCAGACCCCAAAGCCAGTTCTCTTTTCCCCATACCCCAGAGATCTTCCTATTGCCTTGTCCTAGATTCAAGATTGCAAAGGCTGTAGAGTGCTAACAATGTGACGGAGATGAAAAAATGAGCTGTGAGTACCTGGGTAGCTGAGGTTCTCAGGGCCTTATTATTATATAACCTTATTTGTAAAATAACAATACTGCATTTTATCTATTCCAAGACACATATATTGTCATATTTTAACACCTCTGAAACCAAGAGGTGACTTACAATTGATGGTGTTTTACAGTTGTTTCTGCTGCTCAGCAGTTTTGATGTGGTCATTGTCTGTCTGCTCATGCACAAACTTGGTTGTTATTCCTGGTGGCATGACTGGAAAACTGAAACCCATTGACATTTCAGTTTATTCACTCAACTACCATTGGAGCAAGTTATATGAATCCTAGTTCTTGCCTGAATACTTTCTATTGACACCTTTTGGCAAGATCAAGAAAGCACCTGTATCAAAACTTACAGAATGAATGTTAGAGATCTGGAAGAAAACCTCAGAAAAAATGGTTGAGACCTACCTAAGGAATGCTGCATCACCAGTGCTCTGATGCAACACTGGTAATGCTGTGTTGAGAAATACAGACGTCAGTGACTCAGAGTCAAAAGTGACTCAGAAGACAAACTCTGTTCTTTTTTCTTTTTCTTTTCTTTTTTTTTTTGAGACGGAGTCTCACCGTGTTGCCTGGGCTAGAGTGCCATGGCATCAGCCTAGCTCACGGCAACCTCAAACTCCTGGGCTCAAGTGATCCTCCTGTCTTCACCTCCTGAGTAGCTGGTACAGGCACGCACCACCATGCCCGGCTAATTTTTTTCTATTTTTGGTAGAGACGGGGTCTCACTCTTGCTCAGGCTGGTCTCGAGCTCTTGAGCTCAAGATCCTCCCGCCTCAGCCTCCCAGAGTGCTACCACGCCTGGCCAGAAGAAAGACTCTGAATGTGAAGATATTTTGGACTACCTTAACTAAATAATTTCCCGTATATTTTCCTTGTATTAATACACAAGTGAGATATATGATAAAAATCCATGTTTAAATAAATCTAAGTAAGTCCTTTTAATGAGGGCTGAGTGATAAGAAAGTATTGTGCCATAGATTAGCTCATTTTCTTTCTTAGTAGTATATAATAAATGGTGTGCCTTACAAACAGTAATATCTTAGATTCAATGAGAATAGTCACATTATATTTGTACAAATTCTTCAAAATGTATATAGTCACCTCATTTTGATCATCACAATAGCCTTGTGATATTCGGAGCGAATAATAAGGGAAAAATAAGGCATATAAAATAATCTACTCAAATGATAAGAACTCATCCTAATTTAGTCCATAGAATAAGCCTAAAGTCTTCCTTTTCCCTCTAAAATTTCGAGATTTGTATCAATCTTAGAGCTACTGCTAAAAAAAAAAAAAAGCATATCTGGTAAGATTGAATATAATAGTTCAGAATGAATATTGAACATCATTCCCTAAAATGAATTGTCAGAGTTTTAACTACAACAAATCACTATTACACATAGCCTAGAACTATACCTGACACATAAATGGTATTAAATAAGTAAATGGAGTTGTATTACTCAGGACCATTAATACTGGCTATCCCAGCAGTCAAACCCTGAATTCTCAGTGGCTTAAACAACAAAAACTTGTATCTTACACATGTCATGTACCTAGCAGAGGTTGGCAAGCAGTGAAAGGTGAGCGTTGCTCTGCTCCTCACCTTCACTCAATACTATGGTTTGAATGTCTCCTCTGAAATTCATGTCGGAATTTAATCCCCAATATGATAGTATTAAAGAGTGGGACCTTTAGGAGGTGATTAAGTCATGAGGGCTCCACCCTCATGAATGGGATTAATGTCTTACAAAAACAGCATTTCTCCCTTTTTGCCCTTCCATCCCTTCCCCAATGTGAGGACAAGGAGCCATCTTGGAAGCAGAAATAGGGCTCCAACCAGATAGGCACTGCTGGTGCCTTAATCTTGGACTTTCCAGCCTCTAGAATTGTAACAAATACATTTCTATTCTTTATAAATTACCCAGTGTCAGTATTTTTTGGTAGCAGCACAAAAAGACTAAGACAGAAATTGGTAACGAGACTGAGGTGTTGCTATAATAAATACCTGAAAATGCAGAAGTGGCTCTGGAACTGGGTGATACATAGAGGCTGGAAGAGTTTGAGGTGCATGTTAGAAAAAGCCTAGATTTTCATAAACAGAGTGGTGTATATTAAGGGCAATTCTGGTGAGCTGAGAAGAAAGCTGTAGAGAGAGGCTACATCTTATAGATTACTTATGTGGTCATGATCAGAATGCTGGTAGAAATATGGACAGTAAAGGCTATTCTGATGAGGTCTCACATGGAAATGAGGACCATGGTATTGGAAACTGGAAGAAAGGCCATTCTTGTTACAAATTGGTAAAGAATTTGGCTGAATTGTGTCCATGTCCTACTGCTATGTGGAAGGCAGAACTTCTGGGTAATGAACTAGGATACTGTAGAAGAAATATCTAAGCAAAGCATTTGAGGGTGCAGCACAACTACTATTGACTGCGTACAGTAAAATGTGAGAAGAGAGAAATGAATTAAAGATAGAATTAGAAGGGAAGGAAAAAATTTGGAAAATTCTCAGCCCGGTGTTAAAGAGAAATCTGAGGCACAATAAAATTTTGAGAGTTTATTTCAGTAAGAAGCAATTCATTAACTGGGGAACACCAGACCAAAAGAGGTTTAGTGTTCCAATGACAAAATGTTAAAGTATTTCTTGGGAAAATGTGGAAGCAAAATAAAGAAATTATTTGAATGATTTGCAATTACAAAATTGCCTTTTTTAGGTACTTTGTTAGAAAGTCCCTAATCATAGTTAGTCCCTAATCAATATGTTAGTTGATAGCTCATGATTGGTTGGGGTTAAGTTTTAGTTTTGTCTAACATAAGCATTTACCACAAGTGACCCAAGTTAAGTTTTGCTTATATTTACAGTTTAAGCAAGACTTAGGCTACTTTAAGGCCTTTGGTTTGGTATTCTCAGGAATTTTTCAGACCTGGTCTCCATTTTAACTTTGTTTTAACACTAGCCAGGTTGTCAAAGCAAGTTTGGGAAACAATACTAAGGGTGTGGCCAAGTGACCATTTGATAAGGAGATTAGTCTGCATACAAGGAAGCCACATGCTATTCATTAGGACAATGGAAGTATGACCCTGAAAGGCATTTCATAGATCTTTGAGTCTGCCATTCCCATCACAGGCCCAGAGTGCTAGCACCTTGAGGACAGAAGAGATTCGAAGGAGGGGCCCAGGATACCTGTGGGATCCTGGGGCTTGCTGCCCAGTGCTGCCTCAAGTCTCTGTTCCCTGCATTTTGGCGCAGCAGTCTTGACTGCCCAGCTGTGGCTCAGGCTGCTGCTCCAGAAGGCGCAAGTGGTAAACCTTGGTGGCATCTTTGTGGTGCCAACTCTGCAGGTGTGCAGAGCGCAAGAGCTGTGGATGCATTGCTACTTCCACCTAGATTTCAAGGGCTGCCTCAGAAAGCCTCGGGGCCCACCCAGGCAGAGAGCCCCTACTAGGCAATGCCCAGCAGAACTGTGGGGTCAGGAAACTGCAGAGAGCCCCCACAAGGGCAATATCTAGTGAGGTCATGGGGAAGGGCCACCCCGGAGACCCCAAATCTGTAGAGCCACCAGTGTGCAGTGTCAAGTTGGAAGAACTGCAGGCATTCGACTCCAACTCCTGAGAGCGGCAGTGTGGGCTGTGCCCAGTGATGCCATTGGAGTGTGCTGTCCAGGGCCTTGGGGGCCCAACACCCACCCCAATGTATCCAGAAGGTGGGCCATAGAGTCAAAGATTATTTTTCTGAAGCTTCAATATTTAATGCTGTGTGCCCTGTTCAGTTTTTGGACTTACTTGGGACGTGTTACCCCTTTTTTTCTTGTCTATTGCTCCCTTTTAGAGTGGGAATGTCTATCCTATGCCTGTCCACCACTGTATTTTGAAAGTACATAACTTGTTTGATTTCACAGGCTCACAGCTGGAGAGGAATTTGTCTCAAGATGAATCACACCTTGAGTTACACCCATATCTCATTTAGATGATATTTAATTAATTTTTTAAGGGGGACAGTGAGGAGGGAAGTTCAATTTCCTTTTTTTTTTTTTTTGAGACAGAGTCTCACTCTATCCCCCTGAGTAGAGTGCCGTGGCATCATCATAGCTCACTGCAACCTCAAACTCCTAGGCTAAAGTGATCCTCCTGCATCAGCCTCCCGAGTAGCTGGGACTACAGGCGTGCAACCACGACACCCAGCTAATTTTTCTATTTTTAGTAAGGGTTTCACTCTTGCTCAGGCTGGTTTCGAACTTCTGAACTCAAGCGATCCTTCCGCCTCATCCTCCTAGAATGCTAGGATTACAGGCGTGAGCCACCGTACTCTGCCAGATTTAGATATTTAGACGAGACTTTGGACTCAGATTTCAAAGTTGACACTGGAACAAGTTAAAACGTTTGAAGCCACTGGGATAGAATGAGTATATTTTGTATAAAAGAAGGACATAAGGCTGGGTGAGGTGGCTCACGCCTGTAATCCTAGCACTCTGGGAGGCCGAGGCAGGATGATCGCTTGAGCTCAGGAGTTCAAGACCAGCCTGAGTAAGAGCGAGACCCCATCCCTACTAAAAATAGAAAGAAATTAGCCGGACAACTAAAAATAGAAAAAATTAGCTGGGCATGGTGGTGCATGCCTGTAGTCTCAGCTACCCGGGAGGCTGAGGCAGGAGGATCTCCTGAGCCCAGGAGTTTGAGGTTGCTGTGAGCTAGGCTGATGCCACGGCACTCTAGCCCAGGTAACAGAGTGAGACTCTGTCTCAAAAAAAAAAAGAAGGACGTAAATTTGATGGGACCAGGGTAGAATGCTATGGTTTGAATGTCTATGTCGCCTCCAAAATTCATGTTGAAATTTAATCCTCAGTGCAACAGTAGTAAGACGTGGGACCTTTAGGAAGTGATTAGGCCATGAGGGCTCCCTCCTCATTAATGGATTAGTGCCTTATAAGAGGGCTTGGGGGGGGAGAGTTCGTCCCTTCTGTCCCTTCCTCCATGTGATGACTACAGCTTTTGTACCCTCTGGAAGATACAGCAACAAGGCACTGTCTTGGAAGCAAGAAAGCAGCCGTCAACAGACACTGGACATAGCACTGCCTTGACTGGACTTCCCAGACTCCAGAACTGTGAGAAATCCATTTCTATTATTTGTAAATTACCGAGTCTCAGGTATTTTGTTACAGCAGCACAAGTGGACTATGAGATTCAGTAACCAGAATAACTCAGACTACACCTTGTAATTGAACCATGTGGAACATATAACCTCAGGGATCGCTGTGACAGGGAAAAAAAGGGCTAGGGGGAGCACATTAGCTTATACCCTTCTCAGCCTAAAAATCATACATCTCACTTCCTTCATAGGCCATTAGCCAGATATTGTCACACAATCTCAACCTAACTGCAAGGGATGCTGAGGAAAGCAGGGGAGCAGTGGAATATTTGGTGAGTACTGTCTATGCCACATTAGTCCTATAATTATTTCCTTGAGGGCAAGAATGTTTTATTTACTGATATTCTCAAACATCTAGAAAAGTGCCTGACATTTAGTGTTCACTAACAATTGTTGAATCAATACATCGATGAATTAATCAATGGTACCTGAAGCTGGTATGAATCTACTCTGAAAAGTTTCTAGATAAAATTAGATATTCAAGTTCATGTTAATATTTCAGAAACAACTAGAGTTAACAAGAAGAGGTATTTTGGAAAGAATTTATTTGAAGTTGGCGAACTCATTCTGAAATGTAGTTACAGGTTACATAGAATCTTTTTTATGAGAGCTTAATGATTCTTTAAACTGACTAAAATGTGAGGAAATACAACACTCAACTCTCAAGACCAGCCTGAATTTTTGATTTCATTTAAAAAATTAATAGACTGCAGTCTTCCTAGAAACAATTGCTTAGGGAGTTGGGAATAGTTTTCCATGATGAGAAGAATTTAGATTGTGGTGATATGAAAAGGCAAAGAGTACTGAGGCTCAGGGAACTATTCAGTAAGTAGCAGTCCTTTTGGCTCTAATTCAATACCTGGTTCTCAATTTTGCCAGCATTATTAGGAAGGCACAAAGAGTTCAATATTGGGTTTTTCACAAAGGAATCTCAAAGTGATTATGAGCTATAATTCATCATTCATTCAACAAATGCTTATTAAGCACCAAATATGTACAAAGCACAATGCTTGGTGCTGGAGATTCAAGGTGCAAAAGATAGATATAATTTCTACCCTAAGGGAACTTACAGTCTCATAGGGAAGATGGACACTGACTGAACAACTATTGTAGTAAGTGTGACACTCACTGCAAAAACAGAAGTGCCAGGTGCCATGGAGTGACACACTCCAAAACCTACTTCTGGTTTTGAGCAGCAGACAAGTAGAATCAGGAAAGATCTCCTCAAGAAATTGATTTTTCAACTTAAATCCAAATGATAAGAAGGATTTGGCAATGGAAAAGTGAGGGCAAGAGAATTCCAGATGGAGGGAATAGCTTGTCCTCACAATACCCTGCTGTGAAGCCACACAGGATTACATGCTTAATTGTACAGCTGGAGAAGTTGTAGAAGAAGGAAGTAACTTGTTCAGGGGACACTGTTTAACAAGGTGCTTAATTAGAACCATAAGCCACATTCCTAACCTTTCAGGGAACACAATTCTCTTTCTAAGGGTGACTCTCTTTCCCGACTGAAGCAGTAGCTAAGCCAGTCAACTCCTCTAGCCTATCAGGCACATCGATCAACCAAGAACTATACAGATGTAACAGATATCAATTTACAGCCTGTTTCACAGCCTGGAGGATGAGAACGAAAGAGCCCTAAATGGCTCTCATGCAGGAAGAGGGTGGTGCATAGTGGCAGAGGGGGAAGCTTCATCAGTGAGGGCCAAGCGCTAAAAGCAGCTGCGTGTGACATTTCCGTCAGCAGTCCTCCCTCCCACATTGTGTGTGAGACACACATCAGATGTTCCGGTTTATGATTTCAGCTTCAGAGTACATACCCTTTGAGATCCAAGCTCATGTATCTCTGCCAGTGGCAGGGTGCCTGCTCATTAATTGGGCTCTAAAGGCCATCTGAGAGTGATAACAAACCAAATGCTCAGAGTATTGGGACTCTTTTCTCCTATTCTTGAGGCGGTCTGGAAACTTGTGGATTGGTTGAGTCTCAGGCTCCAGGTGCCTAATCTCTGTACTTACTAGAAAGTGACAAAGCACAGGCTTACCAAAGATTCTGCACAGATGCCAGAACCATGTCAGAAAACAGGTCACATATAGCTACTGTCTTCCCCTGTTTATATCAGCCCAGAGGACAATTTTTTCTCTTTCCTTTGGAAGACACAATAGAGGCTAACTCTTGGAGGTCCCAGGTAAGCACCACTTTATCTGTTAGGTAGACCAGACTTAAGAAGGGCCAAGTCTTTTTGCCTTTTCAAATTGTGTTTACCTCCCGAGGTAAATTAGATTAGAAAAATCTATTATTTATAGGGGAGATAAGAGAGGAAAATCCTTATTTTTGCTTATTTAAGAGCAAAAATCCTGATTTCACTGAGATGTCAGCAAATGAAAAGATATGGCTGCATACCAGTCAATCACCAAAACTTTAAAAGTTCCTGATATTCTGGTCATTTTAAAATTTATTACTTTAGAGATTTCTGTTTAGTATTGGTGTTGAAATTTGTTACTTGCTTACAAAAATGCTAGGTCATACAAACTCTCAAATTACTCCCCCAAATTATCTTATGTTTATGAAAACTATTAGAAAATAAATGTCAAAGAGTTTTCTTTTTAAAGAACAAAATTACAATAATAACGACAATAATCTGTCCTAATTTAGATGATAGCAGTGTCTGAGCATCAAGGCTGCTCGATCACTGGGTGGCCACATTTTATTTTGTGTCATAAATTTTTTCATAACCAGATATTACACCCAATTTTGCATGATTTGAATGATGGGTTGGCTTTGGAAGGAGCACGATAAAGTTAAGAGTGAGGTTATATCAGGGCTTCTTAGTCCGTATTATTTCTCAAACCCCTGTAAGTACGTATATGTCTGGAATAATAAATAACCACTTCTTATGGCAAAGTAACCCCTGGTAAAATTCATTCATTTAGTCTACAAATGTTTGAAGAATATTTCTATAGTATATAGAATAGTACATTCATTGTACTGAGAAATAAGACCTGATTTCTGCCTTATATCTATAATTTAGCAGAGACCATATTATACAATAGACTGAACTCCAAGGTCAGAGTTTGGGTCTCTTTCAATTGCCCTTTTATATCCAGGGAGAGCACAGAATTCGTCTCATGGTAGGAGCTCAGTGAATATTGGTAGAATGTCCAAATGTATGAACAAAAATGTACATGACGTTACCTTTCTAATACAAGGGTGTATCACATTTTTTTTTTATTTCAGCATATTATGGGGGTACAGATGTTTAGGTTACGTATGTTGCTCTTACCCCCCTCCCCCCCAAGTCAGAGCTTCAAGCGTGTCCATCCCCCAGATGGTGCGCATCGCTCTCTTTGTGTATATCCGTCCCCTCCCGCCTCCCAAGCATTTCTAATATCAGATATCAGTAAGTCAGATTCTAGCCAGGACTGTGGGAAGTTAACTTTAACTTTTACTTCTTATAATCAGTCTGTGGCCTTTGGGGAGGTTAACAGCATGGGCTGCGGGGAAAAGGAGGATGTTAAAAAGAGAGGGATGTTTAAATTAGCACTATGAAGTTGTATGTAAAGGTTTTATTTCAAATGTGCTGTTCTGAAGATAACTACAAAGTGTGTGCATGGCTTTTTTTTTTTTTGGCAAATGCCATTTCAAAAAAGGGAAAAAAGCCATGTTATTTAAGACATAGTTTTTTTTTCTAATCCTAAAATGTTTCTATCTCTTTTTTAGAGTTAAAAGAACTCTACTTGCCAGACACTGCATTATACATAAGTAGGAAGAAAGATGAGCTAAAGATTTTGGGAACTAGAAAATCCAATTATTGTTTGGATTGTAAATACTACCTGTGTGGCCTTGGATAAATGTGAAATTTTTCTTCTATAAAATAAAGGGAGTTGAATTAAATTATTTCAATTTGAATATTCTATGATTTCATCTGACAAACTCTCCTTTTTCATCTTTGTTGTTATGTGGAATGCTTAATCATTTCCAGTTTTTGAAAAAAAATCATACCACAGATGCTTAAAATAAAGTAGCTCTCTATAGAATGCCTTTTTCAAGTAGTCATAGCACCACTTTAAAATTATTTTTAAAAACCTAAATAAAGATATAAAGATGAAAATAATCCTGCCACTGAAGGATAAACATCTAAACATTTTGAGTTATACTCTTCTAATATGACTTTTGTTCCCATATTTTTATGCATATTTCCTTAAAAAATAAAATTGTGATCACTTTGTATTTAGTGTTTTGA